GTTATGGATGTTAAGCAGGACCAGAATTGCATCAATAGAATGGAAATGTGAGGCTGATCTGAAGCAGGAAGTAGTCTCTACTATGACACACCATTCTCTTGATGTACTGTAATCTATGCATGACCTCATTGAGGAGCCCAGTCCATCTAGGGCTCTTGACAAACCTTTGTGTATTTGTGCACTTTTTACTGTGAAGTGTGCATGGCCTTTATCTGCTTAAACCGGAGAAGACTGACCTGAGATCAGTACATGTTGTAGTGGTTCTTCGTCATGAATGATCAGCTGTTAATGGCCTTGTGGTGATCTCATTAACATTAATTTACAGGCTATTGGACAACAAATGTTATTCAGGTTTTATCAAATACACTTGATTGTGTGTAAAATGTCTTCATTGAAAATGCCTGTCACAAGTACATGAAACAATAAAGATGTTTATAATGATCAACAGCATGTATTATACCACTATAGTCAGTGCTTAATCTCTTACACAGACTCACTGCATTTTATTCGAATATTGACTCGATTCCCGCAACATCAGTTATTAGTCAAAACAATGTAATTGCTAGTATTATTAAAGTTGGGTGGTTAAAGTTGGAGTTTTTGGATGTTATTTTGCTGACATCGAATTTGAATTTAAAGTGCCTCTATTATGGGTAATAAACGGTTCATATTTTGGTTTTGGGAGTCCCCAACAACAGGTTGACATGCATGCAAGGTCAAAAAACACTTTCATTGTCTTATAATATGCATTTATTTTTAATAAATAAAATTGTATTAACATTTATTAAAATTTTATTACAGTCCAGCGCCCTCCAGGAGCTGGACTGGACACCATTTTGTCTTAAGAAACATGCTCATCATTTCTCTCTGATATTATGGTTAGATCATGGCCACTGGCAGTAGGTGCGGTAGGGTTGGAAGATGAGAATTGTCAGGTGCAAGGATTGGGAATTAAAGTTTGGAATAACGTTTAAAGCTGAAGATGGTTAAAATACAGTGGGATATTAGAGATAGTTCACCCAAAAAAGAAAATTATGTCATTAATTACTCACCCTCATGTCGTTCCAAACCTGTAAGAACATTCATCACGTGATTGATGATGTTTGAAGCTTCGAACGTCATGCAGTATCGGAAGGTCGGGACAGCTGGTTTGAAAAAAATCAGCACTTCTCATGACTCTTGTGTTTGACTTTACATTGACTTGGTTGTGTGTGTGTCTGTGTGTGTGTGTACGTGTACACTTATTTGGGATTCTGTAGAATAGTTTAGAATAAACTCAACACCAGACTGAATGCACGTCACACCTCTATTGCATTTTATCATGTTCTAACTGGGGTCTCAGAGACCCCGAACAGCTCACCCAAAATATTTTTGCTACTACTCACGTCAATTATTAATTATAA